GTGAGATATATATCTCTCATCATCCAGCAAGCTATCCAGACTAGTTCAAAGCATGAAAAGTCCCTTGAGGCCTAGGATTAGAATTCGCCCATCACTCCCACCAAATATTAATGGTCAAAATACAACACCAGGCCAGACTCACAAGGTCACAAAACAGGTGCCACCTGCAGAGTCACATCACAAGGCATGTGGCTATACAGAGAGGAGAAAATGTGGCTAGTTTCAAAATCTTTCACGGGCATTCTTTTTCTCTCTCTGTCTCCTTCTTTGTCTGGCTAACACCTTCTTTCTGTAAACCTCAGTCTAAGAAGGAAGTGACATATCTCATTCCAGTTTGAATCAGTTCCCTTTCTTCTCACACAGCCTCTATAATTATAGATACCATATAAATTTTAGATTCCCTTTTCCTCCTCAAGTCCAGCACCATTCCTTGTCTTCCCTTTTCTAACTGCCTTTTTGTTTGGCCTTCTACACAATTAGAATACATACATCTTGAATTCAGAAATTTTCTTTGTGTTTCTTTGTATCCCTGGGGCTTAGAAGAGTACCTAGTATGTAAGGAGTCCACAGAACAGGAGCTCTGTTGGTGCAGTGGTTAAGCACTCAGCTGCTAACTGAAAGGTTGGTGGTTCAAATCCACCAGCCACTCATGGGAGAAAGGTGTGGCAGTGTGCTTCCATAAAGATTACAGCCTTGGAAACCCTATGCGTTGGTTCTACTCTGTCCTATAGAGTCACTATGAGTAGGAATCAACTTGATGGCAATGGGTTTGGCTTGGTTTTGGTTTAGAATTGAACCACACTTATTCGTGAGGGTCACCCAAAGTCCCCCAGGAAGAACCTGGGTTCAAATTCACTTACTAGCTCCACGTGTCCTCACTGGTTGGATGACCTCTGTGAGGGTCAATTTCCTCATCTATAAGACAGAGATAATAATATTAATAGCCACTTTATAGGGTTTTCATGAGGATTAATTGATATAACACACATGCCGTTTGCACAGCCTGTTATAGTAAGGGCTCAATAATTGCTTGTTTGTTGGTTTTGCAATAATAGTAAATAGAGTTGTGGTCACCTTGATCACAGATCGCTGCGTAGCCTCACTCTCTACTCCAAGACTTGCCCATGGGTGAGTCTGGACCATCCCACATCTCCCTGCCATGCCCTGGGCCCATGTAATGCATCAGACACCCTCCAGGAGAGTTAAGACTTTCCTTTACCCATCTTCATCCTTCCCATTCCACAGGTCCACAGGTCAACTCCATATTCTTTTTGGTGGTTGGCGTGACGGGTCACCTTGGCCTCATATATAAGGACTCAACCACAGATATTCAAGCATCTTCTAAGCACACTGACTTGTTCATCTGCAATTGCAAGCCCTCATAGGCATGGTTACAGCTTCATGAGATGGATCGACAGATACAAATACATATGTACACGGTTGCATATTAACATGGTTACACACATGCACCTAGATATGCATGTGGTGCATGGTTGCCAGTCAAATCAGCTACTATGGCTCCTGCATGGTCACAGTCACACAGAAGCACATGATTTCAGAACAGAAGACAAAATCATTAGCCCAGACATGATCAAAGGTAGACACAGTCACAAATATAGAGGTAGACATTTGCCAACTAACACATAGTCATAGACATGCACATAATCAAAGACAGAAGCAGAGTCATGAATATAAAATCTTCAATGACAAAACACTTATTGTGGTTTCTCTCAACGTAAGGCAAAAGGTTAAGGATTGGAGAAAAAGGGATGTCCTGGCCCAGGCCAGGCCTTTAAGCTGTCCACCATGGTGGGCTCACAGTCAAATGAATATGGCGGCATCTGTACAATTGATCACCCACTGTCCCTTCCAGATGCTGTTTCCCAAGACTCAGGCCACCTGCTCCTTTTCTTATGTGCTAGGAACCCAGTGACAGGCACAGCTGTGCTTGCTGCACGCCTCTGGGAGCTGTGAGAGTTGGGGAAATGGGCTGGCAGCTGCAGACTTGAGTGAGGGTGAGCTGGGAGGGCCTGAGGGGACCTGGCCACTCTGAGCACCCATGAGGGTGAGAATATCACCACTTCATGGGCTTAAAGGTATGCCTTTATTCCAAACAATGGAGAGTCTGTTACTGACAATACAATATGCTTTTTCATTACTTCACACATTCACACATATATTGTCATAATGAACTGAAGCCTATGTTTGTCCTATTATGGAGCCAAATTACCAATCCCTACCATCGGCATAGGATTTTAAAGCTTTCCAAGTGCTTTCCTAGACATCTTCTCGTCTGAGTCTTGAGTGGTTTTTTGTTTGTTTTTTGTAAATGAGATTTGTATATTGCCCATATTTTACATATTTACAATTCGTTTTCCATTCTCTAATAAACCAAGAGAATCCTCATAGATGTTACATATCAGTTTTTTATGAATACAATCCACAATGGGAAGACAATAAAAATCCAAAGAAGGTTTTTGTTGTCTTCCCATTGTCTGTTCCATCCTCTCTCGGTTTTTTTTTGGTTGATTGATTGGGTTTTTTTGTTTGTTTTTAGCCCTTCTACCTTTTTCTTCTCACTATCTTACACATATACAGACTTTAGTTTTCTGTCTTTGCCTGAATCTTGAGTCTTTGGTCTTCCTAGAAACCAAACGGTCTTTTATTTGAACTTTTTTTTATTGAGATTTGAGTCTTGTTCTCCTCTGCATTATATAGTTTACCTAGGATAGAATGTGCCTGCCTTAGTCAGGGTTCTCTAAAAAACCAGAATCAGCGAGATATAGATAATATATATAGCGAGAAGAAGAGAGAGAGATTTCCCTTAAGGAATTAACTCATGGAATTGCAGGAAGCTGGCACGTCCAAAATCTGTAGGGCAGGGGACAGGCTGGAGAATCCTGCCCAAAATCCTGCCCCAATTTTTGTGTCCCAAAATTCGTAAGTCAGGTGACAGGAACAGTGAAGAGAAAAGGAGTTCTGGAAAAATGTCTGTTTATAGTCTGGAGGCAGAATACACCCGAGGGAAAACTCCCTGTTTGCTTTTAACGCCATCAACTGTTTGGGCGCAGCCCAACCACATTATGGAGGGTAATCCACTTTACCTACAGCCAACTGATTTAATCACACGTAACTACTTCATAACAGAGTCTAGACCAGTGTTTGACCAGACAACTGGATGCCATAGCCTGGCCAAGCTGACACATAAAATTAACTATCATAGCTCTCAATATAGTATTTTATATTTCCCTACACATTTTATCCTATGTGTTCTCTCTGCTAGCTAGGTGAAGTGGAGCAACGTACACCACCTCTCTGAATTTGATTTTCCTCATTGGTTAAGAAAGTCTAAGATACACGTGGAAGGTTTGCGGATATTAGAGCCAACAAATGTAAAGTGCTTAACGCATTGCTACCACACGGCAGGTACTCATGTACGTTGCTACTGTAGTTGTTGGTGGTGACGGTGGAGGCAGTGGAATAATGATAACAGTGGTAGAACATGGCCTTCTCAACCATCTTATTCATTACTGCCTGAGAGTGCCTTCAGCCAATGGACCCATATTTAACCTCATCCTTGCTATTGAGTACTTGAGTTGTTTTCCACTTTTATCCCTTATTAATACTGTCCACTAAACATCTTCCTGCATACATTTTTATTCTTCTTTTGAATTTAGCATTTGGATGTATTTCCAGGAATGAGATTACAGGGTGAAGGGATATGTACATTCGTAAAGCTCTCAATAAATATTACCCAGTTGCTTTCCCACCAAATCATGAGAATTAATATTTATGGAAGTGTGCATAGCCCTAGCTGGACTTGTCTTTATGTTTCCTGTTTGATTTTGCTTTTATAAATTTCCCTTTATATTCTAAATTACATAATCATATATATATGCATATTTCTCTGTGTGTACACACACACTCATACACACTTTTGTGGGCTTTGTATGGTATGTAACTATCATTTATTATGTGATTTTGGTAGGGACCTGTTGCCCTAAGTTTGAGATGCTTGCTTCTGTTGGTATACAAGATAATTTTAATTAGCCTGTGACATTAAATGAGATCGAATTATATCTTGAAAATTATATTCTGTTTGTAATTCCCCTTCGGTCCTTCTGATCAGATCAAGGAGAAAATCTCAGCTTGGTGCTAATAACTCTTTAATAGCTCTCTAATACTTTCTTGTCTCCCTTTTAAAAAGAGAGAGATTCCATATAAAGAACGTTCTTTCCAGAGGCAACAGTTTCTAGGGAGAATTTATAACATCATTTTGTGTCCAGTATGTTTATTTTTATATTTTTCATGTTTTTATGGAAAGTGATACAGGTACTTTATTTAAAATAATGATAGAAAGATTCCTTTTTGAACACATTTGTTTAATTTAAAAAGGTGACTTACAGACAAGGCAAAAATTATGACAGCGTTACTTCAGTGGTTGAACTTCGGGAAATAGTACTTAAGGGAAGTGCGTTCCAAAATCAGACCATCACTAAACTAATAATAACAACAAAAGGTCCTTTCACAAATGTTGACTACAACTGCCCATCCTGCCTGACATAGTTTTGGACTTTGTGATTGCTCCTCCATCCCCATTCATTTGTGAGTGTAGGGACCTTGTAGTTGGCTCTGACAAGAGTCCTTTTATATACGGTGAGTTCTGTGGCTTCCTGACCAGGTGAGTAATCCACTCACGTGGCAGATTAAGAAAGGTAATGCACAAGCACTGGAGGATGTATAAATCAAGACTGACACTGTGAATAGAATGATTCAGAAGACAGGATTAAATAGCTTAATGATAGTCATTGTGAATCACAACGTCAGCCTTAGTATGATTCTAACAATGTACTTGCTAACGCTAATTAGGTTTGATAGAATAAAATTAACAATGTCCAAACAGCTGTATGCTTTCACAACAAAGGAACCATATTTTAGAGCAGATGGATATATCTTTTCTGTGGGGGATTTTAGTCAATCGATTTTATTTTCTCTTTTAGGATATATTTAAATTTGCAAGAACTTCTCCAGTCCCAAGACAAAAGAGGTCCATTGTGGTATCTCCGATTTTAATTCCAGAGAACCAGAGACAACCTTTCCCAAGAGTTGTTGGCAAGGTAAGTCAGACAAATGACAAATGGCAAAAGCACATTTTTATTAAGAAATGACACACGAAGCAAACTGACTCTGACTGTCAGGGTGACCAGCTGGAACTGGCCTCATGTCCTTTACAGTGAGAGGCCACATGGTTTTGGAAAGAGAGGGATTTCAAAAGATCATCAAAAAAAAAAAAAAAAAAAAAACAAAGACGAGATTTTGGAAAAAAAATTAAAAACAAGAAGGAAAGCTTTGAATATCATGACTTGGAGATGTCCGTGGTAGATAATGATGTTGAAGTTATGTCAGTAGGATGCCATTGGCTAAGAAATGAAATTGTTGCTTTTATAGATGATGTCCAGGCGACCAGCCAGATAGAGCCCGTTAGGATAACAGTAGGTCACGTGATCTTTCTATGGAGACTCTAGTTTCTAAATGTATAGGTCCAGGAACACAACTAAGTCAGTTCTCTAAAGACTAAACCAGTTCAAGGGAACTAAATCATACTAATCAAATCCAGAAACACTGTTGAATGAATCAGAACATTTTTCTCCCCGGGGAGAAATAGTCACTATTAGATGGGAACAAATACTGATATTACCTTGTCAATACATTTTGTCCCCATAGGAAAGTCTACAGAGTATAAGCAGATAGCATTTATGGTGAATGTGGAATTTGAACAATGAGTGAATGATCTTAATGGTGGGTGCTATTGAACTATCCATTGATTCATTAAATAAATACAGAGTACCTGTTCTGTGTCAGACTCTAAGCTTGCGGCTGGGCAAGTATAGTTATGAACAAGCAGACAAAGTCCTATTGTGATAGAGTTTGTATTGTAGTGGGGGAGACAGACATTTAGATAAGTAAATAAATAAACAAGAAAGTTGCAGACTATAAAGAATGTTATGTAAAATAGAAACCATGTGATATGAGAGGGAATAACTAGCAGGACCAGTTGGAAACAAAGGTAGGCATCTTGCGCAGATGGAGGGAAGGCTCTTCAGAGCTGGGGGCATGTGAGGAAGACTGAAAGGATGAGAAAGGGCCAGCTGCAGGAGGAACAGGGTAAACAGCAAAACTGCATGAGCAAAAGCATGGAGACAGGAAAGAACATGATGTATCTGAGGACCCAAACCCAGTGAGCAAGGTAGAGAGCGATCAGAGTTGAAGTTAGAGAGGCCGACCTTATGTACAGCAGAACAAAACATTGTCTGGTCCTATGCCAGTTCTGTGATCTTTGATATATTTGAGCCCCTCATTGCAGCTATTGTATCCAGATTTTGACGATATATTATACGTCCATGCTACAGTTTGCTTCATTCCCACACATTTGTTTCCCTGAGTACATTTGCGTAGTTTTCGCAAGTCTCTTTCCTTAAGATATTTAGTGGGAGTGCAGCTAACAAGGGACATTTTGGGGCCTCCTTTCTCAGAAGGCAATTTGTATCCAAGCTGAAGACTCACCTTCTCTTCGCCCCTTGTATACTGACCACACTGGTTTGCAGCCTGGATTCTCTACAAATCAACTGCTTTTCTAGATGTGATAGTCCAGTAACATCGCAATGCACCAGTCTTCTAACTCCTTAGTTGATTTGTGCAGAATAACTGCACTGCCTTGCAAAAACTATTTGTCCATTCCTTTTATGCCTTGGAAGGAACATATTTTCCTCGTTGTGCCTGCTTGTTTGTATTCATTCATTTTATGCTGTATATCTTATCCTCTTCAATTCTACCAGTAGCTGACAAGCTATACTCTGCAACATGGGAAAGCATATAGGTGTCTTCAGTTGCAACTGTGGAGGTGAGCAGAAGGGAATGGAGACCAAAGAGGCTGGGCTCAGGTCTCCACATATCACTTGTCGCCCACCCAATCTCTCTTGGACAGGGCAGCTCCAGTTTTATAAATATTACATATTATATTTCATTAGAGAATGCTGTTTGAAGAAGAGATTCTGTGCCTATCAAAGTATAAAGACATGTGTCTTCACTTGGGTTCCCCGAGAAACAGACTCTGAGACAAGCATTCCAAAGCAGGGAGTTTATTTAGAAGGTGAAGGACACACTGTAAGGCATGAGGAAGAGAGACGGGGAAGGAAAGGCAGCCAGTGAGAGGCCTGTTTATCAAACCAGCTACCACTGTGGGCGACTGGAGTGGGAGCCTATGGGGAAACTCTAGGAAATGATGTGAAGCACAGTCCTCAGAGTTATCCAGCCCAGGAGGGGAGATAGCTGGGTATTTATATACCAATTCCCATCAGTAGTTGGTTGAGGGCCACTAACAGTGGTGTAAATTTCCTGGCACACCTGGCCTGCCCTGTGTCCTGTGCACAGGCAGAACGGCATTCTGAGTCTTGGGGGCAAAGACTGCAGGCAGAGAGATGCTGTGCGGCAGCTAGAAGTCAGCTGGTGTGCACTGAAGAGCTGAGGTCCACAGGGTGGGGACAGGTCACCAGCAGATTCTGTTCCATCTCTAAAACTTGATAAAAATGCTTCCACATCACTGGCTAAGTTTTCTCTGTGTTTTATTGACCAAACCACCTAGCACAGCCTCTGCCACTTACTTGATCCTCCTCTGCTCCCATGGCATTTCCTGAACTCACTTTCCTGTGTCTGGTGACTTTTAACCCCACTGTACTTACCTCTCTCCTTTAATAAGTATTCACTGCATCCAAGCAGGGCAAATCTCTGAAATTCCATCGAATTCATGTCAACAAGCATATATTCAGCATGTTCTATTTACAAAGCACAGTGCTAGGGGCTGGGGACTTAATGGCTGAGGAAAGAGACAGTATTTTTTTTTTTTTTTTTTGGTTGCTGTAATTAAACGAAGTTCACACTTCAAGTTAGTCTCCCATACAGAATATTTCTTTTCTTTCTACATGCGTTGCCATGAGACCCCAACTGCTCACACCATTCTGTGACAGCACACCCCTCCCCTCTGCCCCCGACCCCCCATGAATGTTCAGCCAGCTCCCAACTCTCTCTGCCCTCCCATCTCACCCCCAGACAGAAGCTACCCCTTTGGTCTCCTGTATCTACTTGACTAAGAGGCACATTCTTCATAAGTATCACTTTATGTCCCACGGTCCGGTCCAATCCCTGTCTGAAGAGTTGGCCTCGGAAATTGTTTTAGTTCTGGGGTGATAGAGAGACCAGGGGCCATGCTTTCTGGGGCGCCTCCAGTCTCAGTCAGACCACTAAGTCTGGTCTTCTTACTAGAATTTGAGTTCTGCATCCCATCCTTCTACTACTCCATCAGGGACCCTCTGTTGTGTTCCCTGTCAGAACGTTCATTGGTGGTAGCTGGGCACCATCTAGTTCTTCTGGTCTCAGGCTGATGAAGTCTCTGGTTTATGTGGCCCATTCTGTCTCTTGGTCTAATACTTTCCTTGTGTCTTTGCTATTCTTTGTTCTCCTTTACTCCAAGTGGTTGGGACCAACTGATGTACCTTAGATGGCCGCTTGCAAGCTTTTAAGACCCCAGACGCCACTGACCAAAGGAGGATGCAGAACATTTTCTTAATAAGTTTGTTATGCCAGTGGACATAGATGTCCCCTGAAAGCATGGTCCCCAGACCCCGCATCCCTGCTACTCTGTCTCTCAAAGTATTTGATTGTATTGAGGAAACTTCTTAGCTTTGGTTTAGTCCAGTTGTGCTGGCTTCCCGGGTAGTGTGTGCTGTCCTTCCCTTCACCTAAGATGATTCTTATCTACTATCTAGTTGGTGAATAACCCTCACCCTCCCTCCCCACGCCCGTAACCAACAAAGAATGTTTTCTTCTGTGTTTAAACCTTTTCTTGAGTTCTTATAATAGTGGTTGTATACAGTATTTGTCCGTCTGTGACTGACTAAATTCACTCAGCATAAAAGTTCCAGCTTCCACCAAGTTATATGATGTTTCACAGCTGCATCATTGTTCTTTATCATCGCATAATATTCCATTGTGTGGATATACTATAGTTTGTTTATCCATTCGTCCATCGATGGGCACTTAGGTTGCTTCCATTTTTGGCTATTGTGAACAGTGCTGCGATGAACATGGGTGTGCATATATCTATTCGTGTGACGGATCTTGTTTCTCTAGGATATATTCCAAGGAGCGGGATAGCTGGATCACGTGGTACTTCTATTTCTAGCTCTTTAAGGAAGCGCCAAATCGTTTTCAAAGTGGTTGTGCCATTTTACATTCCCACCAACAGTGTATGAGTGTTCCAGTCTCTCCACAACCTCTCCAGAATTTGTTATTTGTTATTTTGTGTTTTTTGGGTTAATGCTAGATGATATCTCATTGTAGTTTTGATCTGCATTTCTCTAACGGCTAATGATCGTGAACATTTCTTCATGTGTCTGTTAGCTGCCTGAATATCTTCTTTGGTGAAGTGCCTGTTCATATCCTTTGCCCGTTTTTTAATTGGGTTATTTGTCTTTTTGCTGTTGAGGTTTTGCAGTATCTTGTAGATTTTAGAGATTAGACACTG